CCGATCTTCAAACTCTGCTCTGATTGATATTCACGCTAAAGCACACTGGCTGCAAAACTCTGATATCATCAAGACTCTGATGTGATAACTTTGAGAAAGAAGCTTATTGAAGAAGATGCTATTCAAAATATATCCGTTGGTATATTCCTTGTCCTTATCTGAACGACTATTTCCTTATTTGTGATAGACACAAGAATTCAGGAAAAAGGCATTTATCTGAACATTCCTCTTCTGAGAAAGGAAAAGTCATTAGAAGACAAAAGGCTACAACTATTCTACTATGCACGGTCTTCAAGCATGGGACTTTCAGCACTATATAAGGATGTCTTCAACAACACTTCAAAGTTGACGTTTTGACAATTTCTGATATTATTCACAACTCTCATACAAACGTTCATACTCAAAAGCCGAATATTTTTATTCTTAGTTCTTAATACTTGTGTAAAATATCACAGTTGTGATTAAAGCTTTTTAGAAGCAATCTTCATACACACTTGTTAGTTTTACATTTATTTGTAAAGTTTCCTTAAGAAGATCAAGTTGTGATCAGTAGTTCTTGAGAATACTAAGACAGTTGTCTTAGTGAGTTACACTGTAATCAAGTTTGACTATAGTGGATTAAGTCCTTGTGGAGAAAGGAAAATCACTCTTGATAGGGTGGACTGGATTAGTTGAGTTCAACGAACCAGGATAAAAATCATTGTGTTTTTATTGCCATAATATTTTCTAAACCCTTATTCAACCCCCCCCCCCCCCCCCCTTCTAAGTGTTTTTCTCACCTTCATTATCATCCAAAAGTTTCAAGAGTTGTTGCATCTAAGTTCCACCCATAAGCGTCTTGTTAGTGAGGTACCTAATATTAACACTTGCTTGATATTTAATATATTTTCGGGTCGTTTCCGTTTCAATGTTGCAAATATATTTTTTAGTTGAACAAGATTCAAGGTCATGTCAGCAATACGTTCCTTCTTTTCCGACTTTAGCCGACAGACATTAGAATGACCGACTAATTTTAAACACAAATCATGGTTATGCAAACCACATATCATATTAAATATCCAATTTTTGTTTGCCAACATGTAACCACAAAACTTAAACGAACACTCACATTTTTTTGTACCGGTGTCGTCTCTTTTAAAATTCCAGAGAGGAATTTGATATTTCCCGCTTCTTTCGCACGTCATCGTCACAAAGGCACATCTTTTATCTGAACCATTATAGAACAAAAATTATTGGGGTTTAGGGTGTCACAATGAGCTCTAATGCGTTCCGTAATTGTACGAAATATATCGAGGTAGCACAAAAGGTTGTCGAACCCACATAGACCAATAATCAATCTACCGTTATCTACTATTGCTATGTAAAACTAAGTGTTCGATAAAATTCATGAGTTAACTCTAATTTTACGTTTCATTGAAAATCGTTTATCATTCTGTGGTTTATATTCAAACACATTATATAGAAATTATTGGTTTGATTTTCTCATCTTTAGTATACATTTTACTACGGTTTATACGCATATCTGATTCTACCAATAACGGTTTGGATAGACGAGAGTCGATTCAGATTTGCTTCCGCTTTCCAAAGAAAAATACTTTTTAAAACATAATTTTCAATAAGAAAATTATTATTTGGTGATCTATTCACCCTCTCTTCTAGATTGTTGCCCTCGTCTAACAAGCTCTATTGAAACCATTTATGAGAAATTCTTGAAGAGCCATTTCACGCTCACCAAGAGGTTTACGAGACACTTCCTTTATTAGAGTAATATGATCTTTCTCTTGAGCTTCATTTTTATTTTGATCAGAGTTTAACTCATCTTTCAAAAGTTCATATTGTTTTTTTAGTATTTTCATGTGTATGGCTTTCTCTTGACATCTTCCCATGAGCTCTTGAACAAAAATAATTAAATCTGAACAAAATAGTTTAAAAAAATACCTCATCCTCTTCCTTAGATTCTGAGCCAAAATTTGAGTCAGATTCTGCTTCTAAAGATGTAAGAGCCATCAATGCAAGGTTGGCTTACTCTTCATCCTTTTCAAAATCTTCCTTGTTGTCCAGTTCATCCCATGTTGCCACTAGAATTTTCTTGAATTTGTTCTTGAATCTATCTTTCTGAAAGTTTCCATTCTTTGGCTTGTCCTTTTGTAGATCAGGAAATTCATCAATGAAGTGACCAGATTTTTTGCAGTTGAAGCATCCTTTTTGATCATCCTTTTGTTCTACGGAGCCAGATACTCTAAGGCCACTACGTCTTCTAGAGAATATCTTGTTCTTCTTGAACAAATGCTTAAATCTTTTAATGACGAAGGCCATTTCCTCATCATCTGAGTCATCTTCAGAGTCTTCTTCGTAAAAACTTTCTTCAGACTCCCAGACTTGAGGAACCTTTGCAGTTTTAGAAACATATTTCAAAGCAAGATGCTTTGACTTTCTGACAGGTTCATCTCAATTGAGCTCCATTTCATGGCTTTGAAGATTACTAATGAGACTTTCAAGACTTAATGTGTTTAATTCACATCCTTCTGTATAATTATCACTTTAGGTCTGTATCTGACAGAAAGACTCCTAAAAATCTTCTTTACATGATCAGACATAGTATAACTCTTATTCAGAACTTGAAGTCCATATACAAGAACTGGAAACCTAGAAATAATGGTTTTAATATCTTCACCCTCCTTCATTTTGAACAACTCATAATGCTAAACCAGAAGGTTAGCCTTAACTTCCTGAACTTGTTGATTCCCTTCATAAGTAACACATACAAAATTGAAAATGGTCTTAGCAGTAGATTTGTCAATGATTTGATGTACTCTGAATGAGGCAGAGCATCAACAAATACTCCTATAACTCTATGATGTTTTCTATTGACCCTTTTATCAGCCGATGTGAGAGTTTTTCTATCAGACACCATTCCAACTCCATTAACTGCAATATTAGTGCCATCTTCTAGAATATCCCATTACTCATCATCAAGGCCTTTGATATGAGTATACATCTTGGTCTTCCACCATTCAAAATCAGTAGATAATCCACTAAAAGTTAGAGGTCTAGATGTGTAGTTGTTCTTTTCTAGATTACTATAATAATGATTTATAGCAGCATGAGGAGTAAGAGTACCACTCCCAAATTCAAACACACCAGACATAGATCAATATGTTTTTCTCAGGATATTTTCTGTACCACTATAAGTGTTAAGAATAGACCATGCTCTAATGCCAACTGAAGGTGATAAAAACATAAGAATAAGGTGAATTGTGTTGGCCTTTTCTTCTTCTTAAAACTCCTAAGTCATATTCTTAACACAAGGTTATATAATATGATTTAGTTAGAGATAGACAGCAGATATAATAAGTAAGAAAGAAGAGTAACACACAAAGTTACCTTGGTTCTTCTCACAACTCGAAAGTAATCCAATCTCCTTGTACTACAAAATATTTTCACTACAATCAACCAAGATTACAATTTGCTCAAGCACAAAAGCAAGAGACTTCTTTTTCTCAAACATACAAGTAAGAGACTTCCTTGCTCTAGTACACTAGCTAGAGACTTCCTTGCTCAAACACACAAGTATGAGACTTCCTTGCTCTAACAGACAAGCTAAATACTTCCTTGCTCGAACACTTAGTAAGAGACTTCTCACAAATTATCTAGCAGATAAACGATTATTGGGTGAATACACTTGATATACAATCATAGGTGTATAGAAATATAATACAGTAATACTCTTTTAAGACGTAAGGATTTCTAAGATATGCAAGGATAGGAAATCCTAAGTTTAGCTCATGTCAATACTTCAATATAGTAACTTATATTTTGTTGTCAATTGATCTTTATTAGTGTTTGTGCGTTGTTTTGTGTGTATATATCTTCAAGTCTTTTAGCTCCATAAATAGCGAAGAAAAAAAATTAGTTGGAGATGAAATCGCAGAGTCCTTTGAGGCTTCAAAAGAGACGTTGGAGTTTGAAAAATAGTTGCTACAAAAAGAATTAGCAATTGAATTCCAATAGAATTTATGAAGAAGATAGAGCTTAGGTATTCACGTGACAAAGTATGTTCAGAGATGAACAGTGACCTATCAGTGTCACTTTAGTCTTTGCGCTTTGACTAGCTCAAGTTCTAATCAGAAGTCGCCTTCTCCAAAGTCTGATCTTCAGAGACTAACTCATCCAAACTCTAATATTTGGATGATGACCTCTTTGGAAGATGACTTATTCAGAGTCTGGTCTTCAGCTTTTTTATCATCAAAACCTAAGGGCTATGGGACAAATCAATTTTGTTTCAACAATCTTCCTTTTTTTGATGATTACAAACATAAATATTTAAGAACAATGATTGATAATTTAATCAACTAGTTGACTACAGGGTCCGAGGTTTGTAAGCTCCCTATGAATCCAATAATCCATAGGGTTAAGTTTGTAAGCTCCTCTTAAATTCTATTCAAGTTAATTAAACTTAAAAATTCAAGGCACATATATATTTCTTTAGAATTTAGACAAGATAATAACTTCTAGATTTCTGTGGCTTAAATACTTCTATATCTACTCCCCATCTGTTATCAACAAAAAAATAATAAAAAGAAGTAGAAAAGATACTGAAGAGAATTTTTTTTCATATAACCAAAAAAAAAATATGATAGAAAAAATATTTTAAAAAAATATGAAAAGGTAAAAGGGTGTTCTAAATCTCAATCCTAAGGTTTTTGCTGTAGAAGCTCCAGGATAGTCTTGAGAGCAGAACCCCTTTCGTCTTGTCTTGCACTAAAAACCTGTAACTTAATATCTATTTCTTCTTGTTTGGTAGAAACCAAAGACAACTTTTTCTCTAAGTGATCTTGCCTTTGACTAGAAGAGGCTACAATTCTGCAGAGATGTGTCCACAAAAGTTTTGAGAGGGTTCTAAATCTCAATCCACTGCATTGAAGTGTAAAGATAATTGAATATCCAGCTATGGTACCATAATTTGAACAAAAGGAAAATGTACTATATTCTTATACTTACTAAGTACCAGCGATTCTTCGAATATTTTCTTGATCTTCATTCTCTCCAAAAATTCTGGCCATACGAAAGTCTGATATTTTTGGATTAAGCTCATTATCTAGCAAGATATTACTTGCCTTCAAATCTCTATGTATAATTTTTAGCCTAGAATCTCTATGAAGATACAACATTCCTCGAGCTATTCTTTCTAATATGCCTAAGCGTTTACTCCTATCAAGGATTTTTCTTTTCGATTTATCTATTAAGCCAAAAGGTAAAGTTTTGTTACTTAAATTTAAAGGTAGCATTAATACAACATAAATTGTGTCATCTAACATATGAGATTAGCCTCCTCGCATGAAAAACATAATTAGTATGTTCTAAGCTTCATGGGCTGTTTAGCGGTAGTTAATTGTTACTGAACATTTTCATATATAATGAATAAAGTTTAACCTCCACGCTCAAATCGGAGACGAAACAAACTGTAAAGGAGTATCAAAAACTAACCAAAGAGAAACACGTCCAAACTTTTATTTGGCATGTACTCATATATCAACATTTTTTCCTCGCCTTCAACGCAGCAGCCAAGAAGTCTTACAAGATTGCAGTGTTGCAGCTTGGAAATCACAACTACTTCATTCATGAATTCTTCAAGACCTTGTCCAGATGCTTTAGAAAGTCTTTTAACAGCCATTTCCTGACTATCATGCAGTGTCCCCTGGAAAAGAAATGAAGATATAACTAAAACAATTAATGACCTCAAATATTATTGAACTTACTGCATTTAATATACCTTGTATACCGGTCCAAAACCACCCTGCCCAAGTTTGTTAGATGAATGAAAGTTGTTCGTTGCTGTTGCAATTTTGCCAAAATTAAATAGTAATAGCTCTTGGAGTTTAATTAGTGACAGTTCTCCAATTGCATTGTCATTCCGGTTTCTTGCTGATTTATTTGAAAGCCACGAATTAGTATGATTCTAATTGTCCGTACTAATATGTTGAAAATCATTTGAGTATAATTTGAATTTATCATGATGGTATATTACCATGGTGATTATATCTTCTTCTCCACATAATATATGCACAACCAAGAACTAACACAGTTCCTGTTATCACTGTTATAATAATGATGACTGACATGTTTCTAACTTTACCTGTAACTAAGGAAAATTGAAAATTTTCATTCCAAAAAACCGACAGGTAAATTTTATTCGTAGATCAAATAAAAACTAGCAAAATGTTTACCAAGTTCAGCCTGTGCTACACGAATATACAAGTCAAGTCCTCCATTTGAGAATTGTCGTATGTCAGTTATATTTCCAGTCCAAGACATACAACCAATGTCAGTATCATATGAATATGAAACACAGGAGCAATTCTCCAAACACCAACTTCTGCACAATTCTGATGAAACTGTGAGAGATGAGGCATCTGCAAAATCAGGAACTTTAACCATCTGCAGTTTCTAAAAACCATCAGCTTTATTGTCTGCACTTGCTTTTTGATTTCTGTCTCTTTCACAATGCTGCGGAGGTGTCCTCCTAACACACCCACCAGTCCAATTTTGTTTATTCCATTCCTCTTTGTTCCTTGGCTCAAACCCTTTCACACAGCTACATTTGGTGAGCTCTCTGAATTACAGCTTGCAAAACGTCCACATACGCCATAAACATCGCATTCCGTTTCATGACTATTCCATGTTATTTTCCATTATTTTTTTCTGTTCATCCCACAATTTCTCTTCAACATTTCCTTCTAAAGTCAGATTATAGATTACAAGAGCAACTGTGTTCGTTGATGTTTTAAAGAAGGAAAATTTCCTTCTCCATCATCTCCAATATGTGTACCACCGAGTTATGAGGTTTCATATATGGAAGTCCGGTTAAAACCTTACCATTCCATGAACCACTGCGCCAATAGGCTCGAGTTTCATTCCAAATAAAAACTTCAGATGTACTTGTTATATTAATTATTTAATTAATCAATAGATTTATATAATCAATTATTAATTAATTATAGTATGATCAATTGTTATTAAACACTAGTTATTTATGAATTATTTGATTGAGTTTTGTGTCTAAATGGACCGTAATGGGTTGAATCATTCAGTTAAGTCTAATGAGAGGTCTCTGTACTCCGTCGTTTAACTATTTAAGTGTCGCCCCATTAGACAATTAACATATTCTAAAAGCCCTAAACGGCAATGAGGATAGTAATCCTCTTATACTCATTATTGCGACGAGCGTCTCTCAAATCTTATAAGATACGTCGTTCTTATTATTCTTGATTATTCAATAATATTATAATATAATATAATTTGTGTCTATCCGATTTTTCAAAATCTATCAATTGGTATCCGAGCCTAGTTAGATACATATTATACCTATTATAAAATATATGAATTTGGTTTTTCGAAAACAACCTTTAGCCACAAATCAAATAGACGACTTTAACTTTAGAATTTGAAATTGATTTGTGATTTCAGTTTTCAATCACACTATATACTATATATTATGATTTGATTTTGGGATGTTAAACTTCTTAAATTACAAATCGCATTCAAAACACTTTCGTATGATTTTGTGGTCTCCTTTTCTTTCTTTCTTTCCTTTAAAGAGTACTAAACAATTAATATGAATTATATTGTTCTAATATTTATCTTTTGTTTGATATCAGAGCCTAACAGAATAGAAGGGGTGCATATGGTATGGATATAATAAAGAGAGTGAGTAAGGGAGAAATCACTTAATCATGGAAACACCTGAACCAAACACTCAATCTATTACCACTACTTCTTCTTTATCACTTCCTAAACTTTGTAAAAAGACTAATTCTCATAAAATAGAAAACCTTATTGAGTACTCTCATGTTCCTGAAGATGCTCAAATTTCTGAAACAATACCTCCTCTGTTGAGTCCGTACAACATATTCAAAAGACAAAGAAGTGTTACCAGATCCATCCGAAATCTTATCTCTACAAACCGTCCTCATATAAAAGAGTACGTCCAGTCATCTAGAATAGACCAATGCAGCCTAAGAGTTACAAACCAAGAGCAGTACGTAGATCTGGAGATTCCCCAATATCTCATAAACCACTAGAAAACTGAAGGATATACAACCTTACATTTTGGGCCTGTCAGACTCATCCTTTCTCTTCATGGAAGGAAGAACCAACCCGTCTTTTGCAAAATAGCTCTACTGGACTCCAGCTACCTCCACTATGAAAATGCTGTGATAGGAACTATTCTAACTACACTTCATGCAGGAAGTGTTGTCCTCACCATTTTCCCAAACTATAACGTGAGTCTTAATGATAACACCTTATCCACAAGACTGAAAGTACAGATCCGAATCACCGGAACTGACCAAATGCCAGAAGCTATGTCAGCTACCCTCCATCACCAGATAATATACCGCTTACAAAACCACTCGATAAATCTTCCTATCTCAGGATGCTCTTCTGATTCACTATTGGTTGTCACCAATAGAGAAGAAGACATATCCTCCATAGTTCAGATTCCAAGAAAGATCACAAGGGAAGAATTAACTCATCTAATTCCTCTTAAATGGATAACCAACTATGAGAAACTCCATGTAGACAAAAGACCTATTCAATCTCAAGAGGCTACTTTCAGGAGATCCATTGGCAAGGCAGTCAAGACGATCTTTAAAAAGCCAGACGAAGGGTTGAGCTCAATATCTCCAATCTTCCAGACAATGATGATCCAACCAGTTCTCAAAGAAGATTGGTGTCCTGTTTATGTTGTTACAACAGAGGGAAAACCCATCTACATCGATAAAATAGATGGCCACTTCATTTGGGATGTTGATCCAACAAGATGTGACCCAGATTGTGACTGCTGGATGCACGACGATGATATTGACCGAGATATCATTCTTCCCAAAACAAAGAAAAAGGGAAGGTGTAAACCCTCTCCACCTCCTCAAAGGAGATCTAATCCAGATAATGGTCCATGGGTAGGAATCCATGGAAAAAAGAAACTCCTCTGTATCTACGAAGAAGGAATTAAAATCCTTAGGAAAGAAGGATTATTACCTCCGGATGATCCGAATCTTATTACATGGTCACCAACAGGCCATTGTAAACCGCTACATCCTCCAGATGTTGCTCAACCAATTCTTTGCTTTATGTATTCAACCACAACTTCAGAGTACGACCGACAATTTCCTGCTTTAGAAAGAAAGATGGATCCAATCACATGCAGAACATCCAAACCCTTCATTCATCCGAGTGAAGTCCAGCCCGATGGGAAGCTTAAACCTTTAACTCAGGCTGAGGAAGTTCTGAATTGGCAATCTAAAAACATGGTTTCTCAAAAAGAAATTCTTCAAAACCTTGACAAAAAGGTAGATAAGGTTGCTGAGAAAATAGACGAGACAAATGAAGATCTCAAGGTTTTATCCCAAAAAATGTAGAAACATTACAGAAGCTTGAAAGCCAAAGTATCCCAGCTAGATCGGGATTTGCGGCAGATGTTAGAAGAAAGAGCTTTTGGTAAAACATTTGACCAAAAGGAAAGAGAAACCAGAAGTCTACAAAGCCAAGTAAAAAAGATAGATAATTTCTTAAGAGCCACTCATGAAAGAAAGCCCGAACCGGTTGAAAACTCTTTCTTGGACCCTCTTACTTTTCCTACATATTTCAAGCGACTAGAAAGGCCTTCTCCTTTCTACCCCGCCTATGTTTCATCATCATCAAACCCAGTTAAATACATACCAATAGCTTACGAACCAAAATCTTCCAGAACTACCACTATCTCAACCTCCAATACAAAGGGGAAAGCTGTCTGCTTAAGCGCTTCATCCTCAGACTCTCAAGATATCCCTAAAACACCCCTTCAAAAATCCAAAAGGAAGAAGAAATTCCTAATATTCCAAGCCATGGCAATCACTAAAAATCATGAATCTCCTTGGAAAGATCACTCTGAATCATCAAAACAAAAGGGAGACGAGTCCTTCTCAGATGGTGACAACAACTCTGATCCACTATCATCTTCTGATGAGACACCAAGATCTTTTTCAACTAAAGCAGAATCTGAAGACAACTATTTCCCAAGACTCTTCATGGAGAATGTTAAAGAGGAAGAATCCTTTTTTAAAGAGGAATCACCTGAAGAAACTCTTGTCCCTGAAAGGACTAAACCAAAAAAAGGTCATTGGTTCACTTTTGATGATATACCACCTAGCCGCTGGAGAAAAAGACTACTTGAATTTGGAGCTTGGCTTGACACTCAAATGATGAAAACAAGTGCAGATAGCTATAAGATTATTGAAGAGTTTTGCTATAGAATGACGGGCACGACGAAAGAATGGTATCACAATCTTGGAGCTTTCAAACAAGATGAGTTTCATCGTCTAGAAACTACAGCTAGTGTTCTTGGGGTTCTTCACCGAGAATTTATCGGTGATATGGAACTATTTGATAGGAAAAACAGACAAGAATTCTTTGAGATGAAGTGTTGTTCTCTCAAAACAAAAGATCTCGACAAACACTATCATAGGATGGAATAGAGGTATTATGTCCTTAATGGGTACAATGACCCAAGTCTCAAGAATACCTATGTATCCTCTCTACCACAAGAACTTCAACCAGAAATTCATAGAATGTTAGCCACAACTCAAAAGGATATTAAAACTATGAGTCTCAGCCAGATTCACCAAGTGACCCTAGAAGCACTTGAAAAGCTTTGCAGTTTTCATCATCAATTTTATGAAGTTATAGAACAAAAGTCAAAGTTCACCCAAGCATGTAAGAAACCCTACCTAGAGATTAAGTGTAAAGACAAAAGGTGTAGTTGTCCAACAAAAAAGAAACATAAAAAATACACCAAATCTCACAGGACCTTCAAGGGAAAGAAAAGAAAGAATATGAAGTTCTTTAGAAGAAAACCTTTCAGAGGAAAGGGAAAAATCATAGATGCTTTATTTGTGGGAAAAAAGGGAATTTCTCAAAAGAATGTCCTAATAACACCCATAAAGTCGCAAAATTGATTAACTCTCTTCAACCTCTAGAAGGAGACTTAGAATCTTTGTATTTTGAACAAAGCTCTGCTGATGAAGAAATAATTTTTGCCCTTCAAGACTCTTCGTCTGATGAAGCATCATTTTCGGAGTCAGAAGATGAAAGATATCTCCCGGTTTACTCCATCAAAGAGATAGGCAATTCTCTTCCTACTACACCACTTCCTTGTGTTGAAGTCCATGTTCTCGCAACAAAGTTTTCCCATCCAAAGAAAGTTATAGCTTATATGGACACTGGAGCCCAGATTACCATGATATATCCCAACATTCTCCCTGCAGAATCATGGGTGACACATGCTGCATACTTTGTAGCAACGGATGGAAACGTTTTCAAGACAAATCTAATGACCAAGGAGAAAATAGGAATTAAATTCTTCCCAGACTGTATAGTCTGGACGAAGGTCATTGGCAGTA